ACTCCAGAGTGTTGTTCAGCATGGGGGTGAGTAGAAAATGAAGGCTAATCATGTTTTGGGTGTACTATTCCTTTAATAGACACATGAGAATTCACACAGTTGAGATGCTTTTCAAATAAGTCTTCTGTAGAAAAAGCTCTTCTCTGACCTTTTATCTGATATTTGTAAACTCTCCAGAATTCACACAAATAAGAAGCCTTTCTCCTGTAGTCTTTGTGGCAAAATTTTTTATTACAGAAATATATATATATATATATATATGTATAGCTTGACCTCTGATTTTTCACCTTTCTTAGGGTCATTGAGACCCCATGAGGTGAGATCTTGTATGGAGTCAAAGGGAGAATTACAGTCATATTTAGCTTCTTCCATTTTCTAATGTTTGCTCCAAAAGTGGACCTTTTTTTTTTTTATAAAGCTGCTTGAAAATTTCCCCGTAGACCTTTCCAGTCTTTTGGAGGTGTACAGTTTTGGCCTTAGTATCTTTGGACAGCTCTTTGGTCTTTGCCATGTTAGTAGGTGGATTCCTACTTATTGAAAAGTGGAACTTGAGGTTGAGAAGTGGAACTTGTCAATCACTTTCCCCCTTCTAAGCACTAGAGATGTTGATATTAATGGGTTAAAACTTGTTTTTGCTCAGGTGATGAGCTTCTCTAGGCCTCTGAGGATCCATCTGCTACCTGGGAGGGGTGTGGTGGTTACAGAAAGGTCGTCCATGAAGGTTCTTACCTGAGGCTGGTGGACTCCTGTTTTGATTTTGTTTTTCTCCCAGACTTACTAGGCTTCCCAGATTTTTCGAAAATGTATGGTAATCTCTGTTGATTCAAAAGTTGTGCATAGAGAACAATTTAGCAGCAGTCCATGGGGTTAAGTTTAACCTGTGCTTTTAGACTAAAATGCAGACAGTGAGCTCTTTAAAGAAAATGACATGAGGTTGTCAGGGGTAACAGCAGGTCCATCCTTAAGAATCTAGGAGGCTGGTAAATAAGGTAGACATGTCCACTGTTATATTAGATACCAGCACCGGACATGTGATGATATACAATATTTATATATATATTTGCAATACTTTATACAAGGAAACAAGCGCAGCACTGATGTCTGCTGGGATGGTGACGTCATCGGCAAAACATAAAAACTAAATTAGCTTAAACAACAGTTTTACCTGCACTAATTGAGTAGCACTAAAAAAAGTAGATAATTTTGATCAGTTCGGAGCTTAATGGGGGTATAGTTGACCTCTGGATGACCTAAACAATAATCTTTTAATATCTGAAACATGTGATCTTTTCTTCAATTCATTTATTTCATTTTTACAAATGACCATTTTAAATGTGCCAACCTGCATTAATGAAGCTAACCATTCATTCTATTTGCTAACGCACCCATTAACAGTGAAATGATTCTAAACTGACTGTTGTTACATCATGGCGGCGCCTGGCAGCAGTGGTCTGATACAGCTATTGACAATTCCTTACAAACGTTACTAACCCGCCATCGATCCCGTATCTACGACCGCCAACACCTGCTGGAGCTAGGGCCACAAAATGCTTTAAATACAGCCACTCTTGATCGTTTAAAAAGCCGCAAAGTGCTACGGATAGATGAAAACAAAGCAACGGGCTCACGGAGCGGGATAGGATTAAGAGAAAGCCGGAGGAAGCGGTACGCGAGACAGCGCTAACGGCGAAGCTAAGAAGGGATTACCACAGAATACTGATCCCATCAATCCTGCTCTCCAATGTCCACTCACTGGATAAGAAAATCGATAATCTCCAACTTGAACTCTCTTCAAACAAGGAGATTATTAAATGTTTGGCCATCATCCTTACTGAATCATGGTTTTATTCATCGATACATCGTCCCTGTATCTCCCATGGAAGCGGTTAAAGCTGTGAGCTCCTTGCAGATAGATCCTACATTACCCACAACAACCGATGGAAAATATATCTTTTTCTCTGCTTCGTGCTGCCACCCCTGCAGCCTCTCCATTTTCTCCTTATTTCTGCAGGGATGTGTGGTCTTGTAGCGTGGTGGGGAGCAGGGCTGCTGCGTATAGAGTCATGCAGTTTAAGGAGCTTGTCCCGTGTGTAGATAACAGGGTGGTTGGAGTTGCTGACAAAGGGGTATCCCACTGCAGCATCAAGAATTGCAGAAAGTAGGAGAAAGCTCAACATTATAGTCCCAGAAGTTGGCTTACTCTGTGCACATATGCTCAGAATATTAGTGTCAGGTCTAAGCACCTAAAACATCATACATACATGCAGGGAATGAAAAAGGCACAGAGACAATTGCTCTGTTCGAAAACCGAGGACGCATCCTTAGAAGACCGGATTCGAAGGCCGATTGCGTCATAGCGCGGCGCCGAGGTCTGGTCGGATTCCAAGAGTCCTCGTTATGCGGCCTTAAAATGCGTCCTTCTTTTTGCCCGATTTGAAGGACGGGTCCGATGTATCCTCGGTATTCTTGGATTTCCCAGGATTCATTGCGAGACCAAGCAAGCTGTGATCAGAGTAAAAGTTACTTGGCGCCGAACAGTGGTGAAAATGGGAAGTTCAGTTTAATATAATACAAGTCATTTAATAGTTCCGTCTGAGATTAATGAAAAATTGTTGTTTTAATGGTTATTGAGTCAGATATGTGGCGGTAAAGTTTGATTTATGTAAAGGTTTTAATCTGTTACTGTGTAAATGGGTTTGGCTGTAATTTAAGGACGGATTCTAATATATCTGCAGGGTGGGGGACTATAAATCTGATAGGATTTTTATCTTTTTATTGCTGTTTTGCACAATATGCTTATCTACGTATTTTTTGTTGTTGAATATTAGAGATTTTGCAGATATATTTTTTATAAATACATTGTTTAGATTTACTTATATCTTTCTACCCCTTTTATAGAATAGTATAGAAAATCCCTTTATTGTCCCACAATGGGCAAATTTAAAGCAGCAGATAGATTATTGAAAATGGTCACACAAATGTGGACCTTAGAAAAATGTAAAAGAATAACATAATAGGGAAGAGTTAAAATATAAACAATACAATACTGTAAAGTATTTTAACAATATAAAACTGGGGAATAAATAACCAATATGCAGCTAAGGACATTTTTACAGTAATGGATATTTGAAAATAGCAGCAACATCAGAGATGTGCAAAATGACAGCAGCATGTTATTTAACTGACTAAGGTTTCTATCATTACATTTGATTTTATTTGTTCCTGCTCCCGGCTGTTGGAACCTTTATTCCATTCTGGATTCTTGTGAGTGTAGTCTTTGTTCACTTCACAATAAAAAAGAAATAAACAGTTTTGAAAACTTCTGTATTCATTCTTTTCCTGCTTTGTGTGTCAACGTTCACAGTTGCTAAGCAACAGAGCATACGGCGGTAAAACCTGCCGAAGAGTAGACCTGGTCGAATTCACAGCCTAAACTCTTCCGGTCTCCTTATTTTCAAGGACTTGGAAGGATCCAGTCTAGGTAGACCGCGTCCTTGGAGGATACGTCCTAGGTTTTCGAACAGAGCCAATTAGTTTAGTTTTACTCGCAGGGAGAGTAGGAAGAGACTGCAGAATTTACAAATCTCCCACCCACTCTGCCGGTCCTCAGTTTTCTCCTCGCTATTTATTGAAGTCAGGGGAATTCCCTAATTACACCAGCTGAGGTTTAACTAAGGGAAAGGGAAACAAAACGATTTTACTTTAAACCTCAGCACATGTGTTGAAAAAATGAATGTGGTTGTTTGACAATTGAATTGTTCCTAGAACACATGTTTAGAAGAAACGTGTGATAGAGGATGTTCAGGTCTCTTTCACAACCTGTCCATTGCATGACCTTTATCTGGAACAATCTTTAGCAAGCGTTAATAAGCAATGAATCACACATTATACATAATAATAGTTCGTTAGTACACAACCCATGAAACACAAACGGAGTATAATTAAAAATTTCTAACAATCAGATATGGGTATTATAAAAAAAAAAAACAACACTAAAAAATAAAAAAGGTAGGAAAGGAGAACACGGAGCTGACTTAACAGACTGCTGCTTGTGCAGTAGCATCTTGAAATGTAAACAGTTGACAAGATTACATCTCGAGAATGCATAAATGTTATATCTAAAGAACTTCAGACTCAACCAACAGAAAACGGTCTGACCCACAAAGCTAGATGAACATCTGTGGAGCTTCATTGGGGTGATAGGGTTTTTTCAAAATTTTAGTTAAAAAAAAAACTGAAACTGAAGGAAACAAATAACTAGAAACCAAAAATATATATATAAAAACAAAAGATTTATTTGTGAAAATTAAAAAAAGAGGAGATTTTAATCTAAAAAAAAAGTGGGGATGGTGCCTACCTCCAGCAGTCTATGGATGCAAGGTGGGCTACACCCTGAACCATTCGGCTAAAAAATATCATCTGAAAAGAAGTTAAATCAAGCTTTGATGATAAACGTGGAGGTCCTTTATAAGTGTAATGTGATGTCAGAGCTGCAGTGAATGCTGGGAAATGTAGTATATATTGGTTTTGTGGAGGCTCAAAATGGTTGAATTCTCTTAAGACAAAAAAACACTTGAGACGATTCACTTAATTTTGTCCTCCGGAGGGGGGGGGAAACATTTATAGCCTGATAACCATGTAAGAATCTGTGTGGAAATCTGTTATGTGCTGTAAGCTAATTTTATCTAAATAGGAAAAAGATGTTATTGCCAAGACTTCTTGGCTTATGCGGAGTATTCAGCTTGATCAAGACATGAATGCTTAAAGTGAAGTGTCCTTTCTTTATCCTAAAATACAAAGTCTTTCTCTGGTGTTTGTTTTTCCAGACCGCCTGCAGGATTATGTTGGAAAAGAAGAGGTTTTCCCTGAGCAGCAGTTCTCTGAACAGGAGAGGAATTCCAGTTTGGACCAAGCGGAACCAGAACCTCTGCAGATAAAAGAAGAGCAGCAAAAGCCAGAACATCCCTGGATAAAAGAGGAAACCATGGCGCTCCACATAAGTGAGCACGAAGAGCAGCTTGTTCTAGAGCACGAGGCTAGAGATGGAGGAGAGAAACCTTACCCATGTTTGAAATGTGGAGAAAGATTTCTAAAGAAAGAATATTTAATGGTTCACATGAGAACTCACACAGATCGGGAGATTTATGAATGTCAGTGTTGTGGAAAAACCTTCAAATCTAAATTTTATATTAATAGACACATGAAGTTCCACACAGGTGAAAAGCCTTTCAAATGTGAGTCCTGTGCAAAAAGCTTTTCGCAGAAATGTGATCTTTTTAAACACACCAGAACTCACACAGGTGAGAAGCCATTCAAATGTGAGTACTGTGGAAAAAGCTTTACTTTAAAAGACACTCTTGACAAACACATCAAAATTCCAGAACTCACACAGGTGAGAAGCCATTCAAATGTGAGTACTGTGGGAAAAGCTTTACTTTAAAAGACACTCTTGACAAACACATTAGAATTCACACAGGTGAGATGCCTTTTTCCTGTACTCTTTGTGGCAAAAGTTTTATTAGAAAAAGTAGTTTGACTTCTCACATGAGAATTCACACAGGTGAGAAGCCTTTCAAATGTGATTTCTGTGGAAAAAGCTTTTCTCGGACTTCTGATCTAAATAAACACAGCAGAATTCACACGGGTGAGAAGCCATTCATGTGCGAGTCCTGTGGAAAAAGCTTTTCTCAGACATGTGATCTTTATAAACACACCAGAATCCACACAATTGAAAAGCCGTTCAAATGCGTCTCCTGTGGAAAAGGCTTTTCTCAGGCATCTGATCTTTATAACCACAACAGAATTCACACAGGTGAGAAGCCGTTCTCCTGTAGTCTGTGTGGCAAAAGCTTTATTAGAAAAAATAGCTTGACTTCTCACTTGAGAACTCACACAGGTGAGAAGCCTTTCAAATGTCTGTTTTGTGGTAAAAGCTTTACCGAAAAAGGCACTCTTGATAAACACACCAGAATTCACACAGGTGAGAAGCAGTTTTCATGTAGTCTGTGTGGCAAAGGTTTTATTAGAAAAAATAGCTTGACTTCTCACTTGAGAACTCACACAGGTGAGAAGCCTTTCAAATGTCTGTTCTGTGGTAAAAGCTTTACCGAAAAAGGCACTCTTGATAAACACACCAGAATTCACACAGGTGAGAAGCAGTTTTCATGTAGTCTGTGTGGCAAAAGTTTTATTAGAAAAAATTGCTTGACTTCTCACTTGAGAACTCACACAGGTGAGAAGCTTTTCAAATGTCTGTTCTGTGGTAAAAGCTTTACTGAAAAAGGCACTCTTGATAAACACACCCGAATTCACACGGGTGAGAAGCCTTATAAATGTCAGTTCTGTGGAAAAAGCTTTACATTTAAAGGCTCTCTTGATAAACATCAGAATTCACACAGATGAGAAACCGTTCTCCTGAACTCTTTGTGGCAAAAGTTTTTGTAAACATTCTAGTTTGAATTCTCACATATCAGCTCATGTGAGAAAGGTTTTCCATCCATTAAGCTGATCTAAAAAGAAAGATTTTTTGGATTCACATAAGAAGTCACATCAGTTAGACGCCCCAGAAATGAACAGGAGAGACCTTTTCAATGTTTTAACCGTGAAAAAATGTTAATCTAGAAACCTCATTACAAGAGGAACATGCAGGTTAAAGGCCTTTTCTTTCTAAGTTTAGAGAAAACCTTTCATTAACGGTGGTAATCTACTGTTTCCATGGAAACTAGAACAGGTAAGATGTAATAATGTAAACCTGGTAAATATTTCAGCTATAAGATGACAAAGACCTCAGTTAAGAGGCTGGACTCTGAAACTGAAGCTGTAAAACACTGAAACAGGTTTTTTTGAAGAAATAAACAATGTTCAAATTCTTTCTGATATTTGGTTCGAAGTTTATATTTTTGCTGATCAATATAACTTGTTAAAAAGCCTTTTGGGTTAATAATGTATTACAGAAGCCTTGCACTCCTGTAGTGTGTCAGACCTTGGAGAAAGAGATTTGACAATTTTTCCATTAAATGTCAGACTTAAAGTTTATATTCACTTAAACGTATTCTCTTTTATGTTTCTGCTTTTTAAAGATCCTTTACAGTTCAACTTTTCTTTGAATTATTTCCAATAGTTTTGTTTCTAATTCTGTAGATGTTTTTATAACCTCTGCGATTTAGGGAAACTATCGTCTGTTTCATAGAACTAGTTTTTGTTGCATTGTTTTCTCTGCTGGATGATTGATGAACCAAGCAGAAATAAAAACATGGATAAAAATCTTACCCAAATCTTCGGGTGGCTCTCAGGACAGCAGAGAGGAGCTTTTTCAAGCTGAAATTGATAAAAAAAATAATATTTGAGATCATCAAAGGCCCAGGAAGACTAAGTGGACTTGCAGTCATTAGTATTAATAACAAAATTGGCCAATCAATACCATATGACAATGTCATCAGTGACTTTGCCTCCAGAAAAGCTAAAAAGGTACGATCTTGAGGTCATTGCTCTATAATTATCATTGCTGTTCTTATGTTTGCTTTTATGTTTTAAGTATCTTTTTCTGTATTTTTGTAACATTCCATATTTGTCTATTTCGGTTTTATTTAAAAGATTGCACATTTGCAAATAATTTAATATTTTCTGTGATAGTTTGTATTCAGAAGTTGTAATAAAAGATTGAATTATTATAAGTATCATTTATTTATTTTGTATTAATTCATAACCTCACTGTATTCATTTATTATATTCACTATAACATTATAGTGTGACATTTGTGTTAATAATGTTCAAGCCTAGGTGATTCTGCTTGGTGGGAGGGAGGGCCCCCAAATTCTGCTCAGGGCCCCCAAGGGGCTGTGGCCGGCACTGATACTCTGTGTAAACAAAATGAAAGTTGGTCTAAGTCAGCTATTGAAATTTTGTGACCTTGTAAAATATTATATCTTTAACATGTATGCAGTTGTGCAATTTAAAGCATTTCATAATCAACCACCAAAATAAAACATTCAGGAATGATTTACTCTTAAAGAGAACATTAATAGTAAAGGAGGTGATGGAAATGTTATGATAGCTACTGTTGGAACCGGTCATAAACGTCTTGTCCGACTGGATGTGGGCTAAAACATGGAAGGCTTTGGATTTACAGCACAAGTTTTGCTGAAATATGCTTCTGCTGAAAAAAAGGTCTTATCTGAATAAAGTGAGTTTAAAGGTCTTTTTTTGGATCAGTCTTTTGCTGGATACATGATAATTGAATTTGTCGTTATGCATCCTTGTTCAAATCTTTATCAATAATGTTTCTGATATGAATATAAATTGTTACTCTATTGCCATTCCAAAAAAAGAAAATTAAAAACAATCGACTGGACTTTGTTTCCAAGTTTAAAGATGTTTCTCTTCCATCCAGGAAGTTTTTTCAGTTCAAAATGTCAGAAATAGCGTTGAGTTCCAGGTTTTATCCAGCAGCCCAATAAAGCCTTGTTTTTGCTTAGAAAACATGCAAATAGAAACGGATGAACGGGTCCCCCCCTTTGGAATGCCTTCAACTCAACTCGAACACTATTCCTTACTTTTGATTAAGCTTCCTGGAAGCAAAACAGTTCAGTTTTTTCTTTGCAATTGAACCTATAATGAAGTTAAAATGAGACATGAAGTTGTCTATATGGATGGTTTTAGCGCAATCTTTCCAATTATGATTTTTTTACCAAGTGTTTTTATTACTCTTTATGAATGAAAAAAACATTTTCATCAATTTGTTTTTAAAATATACTTTCTTTAGGGAGTTGCATAATTTCCAACTTAGTGGACACATAACTACTTACAAATTTTTAATAACACAGAATCAATTCTTGGAATTTATACTTAACTCCTTAATTGTTACTTGATGTCCCCATATTTTTTTTTACCTGCAAGGATCGCCTAGCCTGACGTAGTCCGACTCAATTCTAGTCAGAATATGAGTCTGATACTGCTCCATAGAGCTGTGATTATGGGGCGTGTTTCGAACGAACCAGGAAAAAAAATGCCTCTGCACTCAATTGGACAGACGTACAACCAATAAGAGCAACGGAGTGCGTGACGTATGTTAAGCGACGCATAGTTGTTGTCAACAAAAATCAAAGCGTGCAGTTGCACGCCTAGAATAAGAAGATGAGCCTTGATCGCGTTTCTCTGTTCCTCTTTTAAAATTAATTTGCCGTCGATATCTTCTAGAACAGACCTAATAGCAGAATCTACTCACCCAAACTCTCCAGCGGCAGCCATTGTTGTTGTCACCCAAGCGCGCATTGGTCACGTGGTTGATTACGTTACTGTTGATCATCTGTCCATCATCGTATAAAGCCTGCCCTGACAATTTGATTGGATCGCCTGACAGTGGGCTTTAATACTCGCGCTACTATGGAGCAGAGCCAGACCGAACTTCCCGACCTCAAACTTTGTGGGCGGGACTAAGTTCGGAATGGCACCCAGGCTAAGGATCGCCTAGAACAGAAGGAATGAGCAGATATTCCTCTCCCTCACAACCCATGTGCTCCTCTGTCGGCCATTTTGTTTTTTTGAGGAAAACAAAAGTCACTTGCAAAGGCTGACGAGTAGGTGGCAGTTTGACAAGTGGCAGGATGATACATTAGCGACCACTGTAGTAACATATGTGCAAATGTGACATTAAAACATGTTCATTTAAGAGAAAACAACCATTTAATAACTGTCCACTGTAGTGACCACCATGCATGAAAGGGTTAGACTCACTTCAGCGCTAACAGATGTTTTTTAAAGTGACCATGCAATCCAGCAAACTTTCTTTCCTCTTGATCAAGGCGCTTTATTTTCCAAAAAAAACAAACTTAGAATTTTTTACCGTAGTATGATGTGACAGGCGGATCATATCGGCTCATTTCGTTCCTTTTTATGCCAGTCAAAAAAATAATAATAATCAATAGCGGTCAAAAACTGTATGGCTGCGCTGACTGAATCCAAGATCTCACCAGGCCCCGATAGCTAGCTCCAATATAATCCA